TCGGTAACTGCAGAATACGCCTGTTAAGGTCAAAGGTAACAAATTCGGTCAAATTTGCAAAAACCAATCAATGATCAATCGAAGCCTGCCATGTGTTGAGCAGTAAGCAACGGTTGTCTCAACATGTTGGCAGAACGATTGCTAGGTGTACATTCAGCATTTTATAGGTGTTCATTCTTGTTTCTGCTTAAAATGTTTTCCATTTGTACCAACCAAAATAGTGGTTCAGTTCATTTTACAATTCTCGAAGCCGAATTACAGCTCTCAATATTCCCACGCTATAACAAAACTCACCAAATTACTATTATCATAATTAGGATTCACGAAAGTAGGCAGCAAATATATAAATTTTTATTAAAAAAAAAATTACCTACATATCGCACATTTGTTGCAAGCGTCATAATCCAAAAAGTTAAAAACTCGAAAGAAGAACGGATTTAAAGTTTTGAATTTACATATCGTCATCTGAAATGCAAAAAGACGTAACAAACATCATCGTTGCAATGCAAAAAGTCATAACTAATAAAAAATTCAAAACTCACTTTTTGATTTATACGATGGATTTCATCGAATTACAACTCCCCACATCATTTTATGAAAACAAAAAAAAAAATAGTAGTCACGACTTTTTCCATTTCATTTACGATGTTGTTACGTCTTTTTGCATTTCAGGTGACGATATACTCACATAGTAAAAATGAATGCATACATAGTTTGTGCTAGTGAGCTACTGGTAATCGGTAGAGCTATGAAAGACCGCCTTTTGCATACTTAACTCAATTTTGTGTTATTTTGGACTATGACAATCTCTCAGAAAATGTGCGGAAAGTATATTAAAATAAATATTTAATTTCTTGTGCATTTCTAAGCGCTTAAAATTAACCTTTTTCTTTATAAGTTTAGGCGTCCTAATTATGACAATAGTCATGTGGTGAATTTCGCCGTGGCGCACACATAGTGCTGTTAGGGTTTTAAGAACTTAGTTGCACTATCTTGTGGACAGCAGACATACATACATACATATGTACACATTTTCATAGTTGCGACGATAAAGCGGCCAAAAATATACAATATCTTTTTATAATCTCATTTTTACTTCAAAGCAAACAGGTGAAAAACAACGTTAACACAAAGCTATTTAATTGCAATAAAATTGGATAAACAAATAATTTTCTAAATGTAAGTACTGTATAACGGATTGCAGCAGTTAGTGTTGGAGAAACAAACATTTTGTGGTTAGTGCAATTAATACGAAAAAAAAAAAAATTAGATAAAAAACAAATTTAAGGTAGCGGGGCCCATTGCAAATTTACAAGTTGTTCCACAAATGGGTGAAGAATTTAAATTTTAATTATTTATTTTTTTTTTTTAATTTATTTACACAATTCTTTTGGTTGCACACACTCAACGTCTGCGCTGCTGTACTGGCACAATGTGTGTTTTTGTATTGGTTGTTTAACTAGTTGTTGATTGAAGTCTAAAGAGAAACAATAGTGATACCAAAATAACGAAAACAGCTTTGTTTTATTTTTAATTTTTGTAATATTGTGCATCAAATCGTTTATTTCAATCAAGTTTTTCTCTATGGTTGTCATAATTATATATGTATGTAAGTATATTCTACAAATATAATCATTTATTTTTATGTTGCTGATTTTTATTTTTTAATGATGATTTATTTTTATAATATATGCAGATATTATGGTTCTTTTATATAATATCATATCAAATATATACTTGGTTTGTATGTATATAATTACGGTTAGTTGTTGTTTATTTATTATACGCTAGAAAGAAGGATATCTACGCAAGTGGTTTTAATAATTATTTAGGACTGCAATTTTTCTATTTGAGCAACGCGTCAACAAATCAGTGTTGAGTGGACTTTTGTGGGCGTAAAGAAAATCGAATTTAACTAAGAATAATGTTTGCAGACAATAAAAAAAATGAATGAGGCTTTACTTAAGAAAATCTTAACAGTCCAAAGTTAAATATTTTCGAGCAAAAAAAGCTGGTTGCGATTCCTAAAATTTATCTAGAAAGGTACTAATGCGCTGTTAAAAGAGTTTAGATATACAAGGCGAACACTGAAACCATCGTAGTATGATTTTCGTAAAATATACGTAAATACCATTACTGATCCAAATTGCGACGAACGTAGAGGCATAAAAAGTTTATACATACACACACATATGCGACATTCATAGCTATACGATTTCAGCGATAGCATTTTTCATACATTGGTAGCCCGATAGGCGTCAACTTGAAATGTCTACTACGAACAAAAAGTAAATCCTCCAAATGATAAATTTGAAAGCTTCCTAAAAGAGCATTTTCGCTCTATCTCCATGAAAAAAACAGCTAAAATTGCCTTACGAAGTTTTTGACTTCGTTATAAAAAGCTACAAATTTCTTTAGTATCAAGGAAAAATTAGTTGCCTACAAAAATTTTAAGTTTTATGGTGTCTGAAATTAAATTTAGTTGGGTGGTAAACTACAAAATTTACTTAACATGTCGAAGGAGGTATTTATTTATGATTCTCGCATTCTCGCAATCAAAGCAAGACATCTGCATCTGGCGTGATTTGAAAGTTTCAGTATATTATAAGTTGCTGAAACCATCTCAACTCATCGCTAGTGACGTCTACTAGCAATAATTGATACGACTTTAAAGAACTATTGAAATAAATGAACAGAATGGTTGTATGACAGCCTGTTGCGAAGTGTGTGCTTCAGCAAGTGGAATTTATTCCATAATAAAGCAATACCTCATTTCGCTTTGTCAGTAAAAAAAAAAACACTTGGAAGGCCAAAACCGGGACGTGTTACAGCATTATGTATATCTCTCAAAAATAGTTCTCTGCGATGACAGGCTCAAAATTTGATTTGGAAATTTGTTTCAACACCAAAGATGATAACTGCTTAAGAGTTGAAACCTCAAGTTGCCTTATAGCTTAAGCGCCTCAGAAAAGGATGTCATCGACCAAAATTTTGTTCAAACAGGACTAATCGCATTAGATTCTTAAGACCTTTAACTATAATAAACCGTCTAAAAGAATTTTGGTTTTTTGGTCGATGATACCATTTTCTCACATTTATGTATGTACTAGGGATGTTGAGATCACTTCTAACATTCGCATCGACATTCGCATTCGCATTAAATTAAACATACTATGCTTCTTTTCAACTTTGGCTTTTCCATTAAAATGCTGTATAGGTATAACACTGATTTAATGTTCTAAAAAGTACTTTTTTACATTACTACTGTAACTTATATAATTTGTAGTAATAAAAACAACGGGCCGTCTGCATAATAACTTATTGTTTAACTAAAAACATACGAATAAATCGTCGTAGGACTAGAGCGAAAAATATTTATGATGTGAAAATCCTCTCGAAATAAGCTTTCAAACTAGGAGTGCATACATATCTTGCAATAAATATCAATTGTGAATTTCATTCAGTGATGAGCAAATAGTTTTACAATCGAAATACTAAATTCATACACTTTTTAAGACAAAGTAAAATTTCCAATTTTAAACAAGAACACTTTTCCCTCAGTTAAATTTGGTATTTCATTTGGCCCAAAAGTCAACCAAGCCACTGATCGCCAACTTTGTTCCACATTCGCGCTTTCATTTTCAATATGATCATATTTTTTTCTCCGAAATTTTCACTCACTTGCTGTACAAAACTTTGAATACGAGGTTTGTTTCCTTAACAAATAACTACAAAGTTGATTAAATAATATTAAAAAAAAAACAGGCGAAGAAGAAAAAATATTAAAGTAACGAAAATTGTAGTGTTTTTATATGTATGTAATTATAACAACAAAAAATCATAAGCAATTAAAAACAATTTTCAATACAATAAAAATAGAAAAAAAAGTATACTTATATATGGAGATAACATCTTCTAATTGAGATTTAAATTGATAATTGATTTGTATTGGCGTGTTACACATTTGCAAATGCTACTTGGATATCTGTAAGTCAAAAAATTAAGCTAAACCACACAAGAGCAATAGTTGTAGCAATACTAAGTGAAATTTATAAAAATAATAAATATGTATACAAACATTTTTTTTGTAAGTAGCAAGAAAAAGTGTATGCCTATGCAAGTGTTTTGCATTTTGATGGTTCCAAAAGTTCTAAAAGGAAAACTGTTCCCTTTCGTTATTTTTTCTACTGTTAGCTGTTGGAAAATTGTCAATCGAAAAAAGTGTACAAATGCAATGCAACAAAATTCTCTGTCATCTGAAACTGCACTCATTAATTGATTTCCGAATTTTGTGTAGTTGGTACTATTTTATTTTGAAATCTATAACTTTTTTGTTGTTGAGCAAACACAAAATTTAAACAAAAAAATTAATATTCGTATAAATGTAAAATGGTTGAAATTAAAGCATTGCAAGTCACTTGCACTAATAAAAAGTAAAGGCTGTCTAGATTGCGCTGAAAAGCACGCAAAAGAAAATCAAATGGGCAGCAGCTAACAAAAATTATGCCTCCTACAATGCTTAATAGCCATATAACATATAAAGATACATAAGTATCTGATCAGATATATGTACGTACGTACATATTTCTTTAGTAATTATTTTTTTCTAAAACAGTTACTTTTGCTTTAATGCAACTATTCGTTTTTTTTTTTTTAATTGAGTTTTGCATTCTTTTTGCTACGTGTCTATGAATTTTAGCAAATAGCATATAGCTAATGAATGTCTAACCAAAAACACAACTACATTCATACATTTGATTGCTTTTGTTGCATATCGCAATTGCTTTGTTTTTCTCTGATTGTGCACTGCGGATCTACATATATACTGTGCATTATTAGGTTATTGCTTGAATTTATTTCATAGATTTCACTTTTTCACCTGTTGGCATTTAACTCTCAATTTATTACTTTGAATAACGTTAGTTATTGCACTACCGTTTGTGGTGTTGAATATACTTTTTAATTATCTAAAAATTTACTTTTTAATCTGTGATATTCACCTCTTGGCAGTGTGGCGCCAGTGCGTGAAAATATCGAATCCATATCGTTACTCAAATCACGTGATATACTATGGCGCCATGGTGCACCCACATTATTGCCGGAAGCGCTGTTGAGGCGGCTGTAAAAAGGTAAATAAAAAACATTCAATGTTGTTTTGGTAAGACAAAAAGAAGTTAAGTTTCTTATCAAAACGATTTCAATGAGTGCAGATATTTAAAAGAGCGAGCAACATGCATAGATTTAGTTTGAGCGATATTAAGTAAAGCAAGATGAGTGAGTTAGATCAGAAGTACATAGTTTAAAAGCGCTTAGTACAAATATAAATTGGATAAATTTAAAGAATTTCTAAACAAGCGAAATGTTGCATATATTTAGGAGCAATAATAAAAATGAAAACACTTGGCGTTTATTATTAAATTATGGTATTTTCCTATGCGAAATGTTTGACCTTCAAAACTCAGCTAATATCCCCTTTCCCTTTGGACCAACGCCGACAAGCAGCACGTTTCCTTAGCCTCCTCTTGATGGACTAGCCGATTTAGGCAGGGTCTAGTGGTACCACTACAACAACAACCTTCAAAAGGGAAACTTTTTATGCGGCAAATAAACATTTTGATTTACACACAAAAATGAGGAAGAAGTCATTGAAAATGCACTAAAGGCCGCTAAAGCTATCCTTAATTATTTAGCTGCCGACAGAACGAAAAAACATTAACTTTCAGGCGTTCCTAATTGTATCGTTTGATTGTATCAAATATACATATTAGTGATTTCCCTTAAAAATCTGCAAATCTAAAATGACGGTAACTGTGAGACGCTTACTGCTATCCAGTATTTTGGATTGTTTTGGTAGTTAATTTCCACGACTAAGATGTAAATCAAAAAGAATTACAGAGATTCATTCTGATAAAATTATGACAAAGAAATGGAAAGATTATAAAACGTGCAATGCACTAAGAAAAAAATCAGCTGAATATATTTCTCTGAACACATGATTTGGTAACTATAACCAAATAATGTAGCTATAAGCAAATCGTGTGGTGAGAGAAACATATTTAGTTCACATAACAAAA